TGCAGAAAGAGATGATAAGTCATTTAAATACATTTTAGCTAACAGTAAGTGTTATAGATAAATGAGAACATATGTGGAAAGGGTAACACATTTTTAAAGGTAATTACTTCTGATTTCAATTAATTATAAAATACATAGGAGTAATTTTATAGCATATTTTATGGCGGATTGGGAGAGTGAATTAGCTAATGCAGAAGAACACTAGGGTAGGTTTGCTACTACAGAACTACATTACAGGCTACATTGATTTAAAAGAAAAATGAGTTTAGATCTTTGTATTTTGTAAGTAGTCTGATATCCAATTGGCTAGCTGTCTGGCCTTTTGTACCGTGGATTTCATGTTAGAATTTTCGGGTGGCACGGGTGTTTGTGAGTGGTTCGAAATTAACATTAAACTGTAGGTCCCGGTCTAATTAGCCTAAAGTATGTAAAATGATCGTAGAGCGACGAACCAAACCAAACCATTTGGATTTTGTTACATCAAGTTTTATAGAGAGAGTCTGATTGTCTGGTTCTTTGATTTTCTTTAATACGATGCGTAAAATATGGTGGATTTTTAACTCTTGTCTGGAGCATTTGATGTGTTACCACAATATTAATTGAGGTGAGATTGACATAATACAGATAACATCCAAGTTAGTAACTTCATGAGTTGCGTGAGGTTTATAATTGAAACAAATGCTGAATTATGTTGTATGTTAAAGAAAATATCTTTCAACAAAGATTTTTTAATTGTATTAATGACTCAATTTACGATAAATCTAAGAATTCAAGTTTTGGGCTCGAGAGCCAGTGGTGCCAAGTTTGTAGTGGTTCGAAATGCATTTTAAACCGTAGATCCTGTCTAATATTACTGTCGAACGTTGTGCATTGGGCTGACAAGCCTACCCCATAAAAAGAAAATAATATCTCTAATAGGAAAAAAATCTTGGCCCACCATGTGGCTGTTGCGCCATTGAACAAGTAAGATACCAAGGTAGCGTGAAAATTTAATGTCATCTATTTGAAACATATTGAACTAATTTTTATACCAAAAATATCCGTGCCATGGTGCAAAACGTATACGTACACGAGAGTTGGTTCATTTTTTTAAAAATCTATTTTTTATTTACCCTATACGTATATAACATATCTTAAAACATTAACAATTAAAGTATTTAAAATACTGATCAGCGAGATTTTCTTTGTTTCATCGTCATTTTAAAATCGCATATATTTTAAGCGATCGTTCCTCAAACAATTGACAACTAAATGCCACTGGAGCATTACTTAGAATATCTTTTTTTTTAAATAAGAAACAACTGAGGCTTCTAATTAACTACTCAAAAGTTCTAAAATCATTGTGCTCGCTGTCCTATAAAACTGGAACAGAAAAAAAAAAGAGAAAATTCTTAATAAAAGCTTGGAATCGGTGAAATATGTTTCATTTATTCTTATCCTTGTGAATGTTTTTTTGAAAAGTAAGAATTAAACTTAATTCCATTTCTGCAAGAAAATATTATTCACATTAAAAAATATTGTAAGGGAAAATTTTTAATTTTGACAAAAAAGACCCTAAGGCAAATGAGTTTTCAATACTTTATAACTGAATAAAAATAAAATGAATGAATTCAAACTAAAACTACTTTTTTAAACAAACTTTTAGTATAGGGTTTCGCTTATCGATTGCAAAAAATCGTTTCAATTTTTCATTTTTTTTCAGTCATATTAAACTGGAACCTACGGTTTAAAGTGTATTCCGAACGACTACAAACATACATGGCCCTGCCAGTAGTCGAACCCGAGACCTCCGACACAATTACTCTAGGGATAAATTAATATGAAGCAAATAAAAATATTTTAAAATTTTTCGTTTTGCCTTTAAATTAATGACTTGAGAAAGATCAAAATGAAAAAAAATATCATTCGAATTTTGATATATCTTTGCTTAAAATTTGTTTTCAAAGCACGATATCATTGTTCATAAGATTGTTTATTATTAATAGGAAACCCTAAAAATATCTTTAAAAGAATATTGAACTAATATTTTGAAAGTAAACATAGATTTTTATTTTTATAATAAATATTAAGTGACTGGAATAATTAATTTCTTAACTTTTTTTTGTATTCTTAACTCATTGTGCTTTCAACTTAAAAAATTATTAAAACTCTAACTTATAGCATGAAAAAGTATCTAAAATAAACTGAAAACTATAAAAACATCAATTGCAGTCATATTGCTTATTCAATTATATACTTTATGACAACAATTTCTATGGTAAATGTCCGAAATCTGATATTAAAGGCAATTAAACCCTTAATAAATAGCATAATCGTCGGCTGTAGTCTTTGGGTACATTGTCAGGAACGTCATTGAGTCTCTTCCGTTTCTGAGAGCAGTTATTTATCAGGGGATTCAAACTTGAAGACCAATTCTCTGCAACAGTATTGTCACTTTTACGACTAATGACATATTAAACAGTAAAACAGATTTACTTTGTAAATGTATATACCAATTGAATAAATAAATATAATATTGAAAAAATATTGAAAAAATATCCGGCAACGCCGATTAAATGGTTAATTTTCTATCAATTAACAAAAGCCTCTCGAAAAAAATATTTTAACAATTAGCATAGTACTTTACATACGAGCCGTTATTTAAAAAATTTAAAATAAATTGTAGTTGTTATTTATGTTTCATTGACTACTGGGTATTTAATCTCAAATGGGATAGTATGTATTTAAATTTTCTGTTAAATTGGAGTACTTTTATGTAATCAATCAATTTGTTTAATTAATTTGATTTGAGAAAATTAGCACAGTTTTCATTCGAATTTTTCAAGAGAAATAAATTCATTTCTATCATCAAGTAATTGACATTGGGAATTCTAGACATTTAAGTGTGACAGATTCCTCTGTAATAAATTCTCTTTAATATCGCTGTTACACAAAGAATATACCTACGGATGGTTATCTGGAGTATTGTATGCTTTTATCTTCTCGTTTAACGCAATGGAGAAACATTTTTGCCGACATATTTTTTATGCTTCCATCTCAATTTCAAATACGTAAATATTTTGTTCATCTTATTTTCCTGAGTCTAGATGTGAACTGTCTAATTTCCGATGGCAAACATGCTATCCACCACCATGCTGAACTGATAGGGTTGCTGACATAACACAAAACATTTTCTTGACATAGCACAAAATAGTAGCAACATATCCATTCCAAAAAATACACAGAATATCAATTTTAATACAGTTTAACAATAAATATTTTTTTGCCCACAATTTTCATCTCGGGTTAGAATCGAATTTGTTAGCTTTTATCGCGTGGCATGTACGAAAGCCATTCTTTTACTTTTTCATACACAATGAATTATTTTTTATGTAGTAGTTTCTTCATGATTCCATCTGTGGTAAAGGGGAAATTGTATTTTTTTACTTATCATATCAATAAAGCAAATAAACAGACGTCAATGAAATAGATGTGGGTTTATGGTTGCAATTGAGATTTAAGGATTACAATGAAAAGTTACAATAGAGCTGATCATCTATCTACAACAAAATAAAAAATGACAGTGTTTGAAACACAATCATTTCTGTTTGAAAAAGAAAAAATGTATATATTTTATAGAATCTATGTGTAGAGATTTAAGATATTTATTTCAATAGCCTTTTTGGATAATAAATATATAAAAAAAACAAATTTTATGTTTTTTCGTCTACATACTAAAAATAATATAAGTAAAATTATGAATAATCTGGAAGTGATAAGAAATATCTAAGAATGCACTAAAAAGTAAAGTTTGTTAACATGGAAATAAATCAATGTTAGGAATTGAAACGTTTTAGAAGTATTTTATATTGTAAATGCACATTGTTTATACAATTTATGTTTCTTACAGGCATTTTTACATTACATACAGATGATATTTCTCTTACGATTTAATAATAATTCTTCTTCTTTGGCACAACTGTCCGTGGTGGGCCAAGACCGTCTGCCTCCTGATAGATTTCGAGACAAGAGATTTTTTTTAGGGGTAAGGTTGCCAGCACGACGCTCAACAGTCATATTAAACTGGAACCTACCGTTTAAAGTGTATTCCGAACGACTACAAACATACGTGGCCCTGCCAGTAGTCGAACCCGAGACCTCCGGCACCGAGCGCCTGAGTTCTGGTCACTTGCCATTAAGGCCTTATTAATGACTACTCTGTAAGAATCAAGCAAATATCTTGACAATTACCAGTATAATAAATAAATAAAAAAAGAGTCTATAAGATTTTTGGATTAAACTTATCCATAATAGCTTTCATTTGAATTTAAATAAAAAATATTTTATTAATATGTTAATTTATATTATATTATAAAACATTGTACAATAAATTTATTATCGAACAACAATTCTACATATGTTTTTGATTTTTATCTGTTAAACAAGATTTTAATTTTTATTCTATAAAATCACATACAAAAATATATAAGTAATTTTTAAACAAAACAGATATTTCAAATCGAAACAAGAATGCCCAACGATTTTTGACACTTATTAAAGTCTTATATACATCTTAAAGAACTCCCTTCAAGACTTGAAGCTTTATTACGAAGAGCAACATTATTTTAGAATATGGGAGATGCTAGATTCTACTTTATACAGTTGCAGCGCAAGCCATAAAGTTAAAAACTCAAAAAACCCACCCTGTTGCCACCTCTTTTTTTCTTGTTGTTGTTTGTTGTTGCTTATCCCATTTGGCTGGCCAAGCCCATGAACCCATACATACTCTGATTGAAGGGGAAGGAAGCAGCTTCTGTTGTGATGGAGCACCCGTAGGTAGAAGTCTGACTTTGGCTCCGTGACGCTCTTACAGTCATAGGAGTTCGGGACCTACAGCTTAAAGTGGATTCCGAACCACTACAAACATTCATGGCACCGCCGGGATTCGAACCCGAAACCTGTGGCACCGAGCGCCAGAGCGCCAGACACTCGGCCATTCAGGTCCCAAATTTGTGAATGCCAACGGCACGCGGTGTTCCCAGGTGGTCACCCACCCAAGTACTGACCGCGCCCAATGATGCTTGACTTCGGTGATCTAACGAGAACCGAAATATTCAGCATGGTATGGCCGTTGCCATCGTATTTTTCTTTCTTCTCGTAAACCTCAAAGGTTACGTAAACTTGGACGCTTTACGTGCCATTGGAGAGGTAGAATAAGTTTAAGGTATTTCGTTTTCGAAAGTGGCAGCAGCCTGTGAGTGAGAAGTTGTTTCGACTCCAGCGAGTCGAGAGAGAAATTTAATTTGGAATTGTCAAGTGAAAGTGGTAAAAAGGATGTCGTTTCTTGCATCGAGCAGTTTAGGAGCATGAAATATAATATAATCCTACTTGAGTACATTTCTCTTTTTGTAATTTTAAAAAGATATGCTTTACACATGCGTCAAGTGTTTTAAAGGTATCCTATGGGATTAGGAGCATGACTTCTGAAAACAGCAAAGACTATTTTATATCCATGAAAGTTTGTACGAAACAGTTTGTAAAATTAGGCAAGAATCTGTAAATATATTTACAATCAAATAATATTTTTCCACACAATCAAATAAATATTTTTATGTAATGCATGTATTTAAATAAATAACCAATAGTTACAGTGTTTATTACATAAATTCTCTTATTTTATGTTAGTAGTATTAAAATGTCTTTTATTCTATGGCAGACCTAGGATGGGCCGCCAACAGTCTATGACTGGCACACCAATGCAGTTCAGAATCACGGCAGTTCAAAGCATTGTAGACTTTTGCAGTGCTTACAATCAAAAAGCCCAGGACAAAGTGAATTCCCCACAGAAATAGTCAAACAAAGTTGGAGAGTCTGTTACAAATAGTTAAATAGTTACAGTGTTTATTACATAAATTCTCTTATTTTATGTTAGTAGTATTAAAATGTTTTTTATTCTATGGCAGACCTAGGATGGGCCTTCAACAGTCTATGACTGGCACACCAATACAGTTCAGAATCACGGCAGTTCAAAGCATTGTAGACTTTTGCAGTGCTTGCAATCAAAAAGGCCAGGACAAAGTGAATTCCCCACAGAAATAGTCAAACAAAGTTGGAGAATCTGTCACAAATAGTTAAATAGTTACAGTGTTTATTACATAAATTCTCTTATTTTATGTTAGTAGTATTAAAATGTGTTTTATTCTATGGCAGACCTAGGATGGGCCGCCAACAGTCTATGACTGGCACACCAATGCAGTTCAGAATCACGGCAGTTCAAAGCATTGTAGACTTTTGCAGTGCTTACAATCAAAAAGCCCAGGACAAAGTGAATTCCCCACAGAAATAGTCAAACAAAGTTGGAGAATCTGTCACAAATAGTTAAATAGTTACAGTGTTTATTACATAAATTCTCTGATTTTATGTTAGTAGTATTAAAATGTGTTTTATTCTATGGCAGACCTAGGATGGGCCTTCAACAGTCTATGACTGGCACACCAATACAGTTCAGAATCACGGCAGTTCAAAGCATTGTAGACTTTTGCAGTGCTTACAATAAAAAAGGCCAGGACAAAGTGAATTCCCCACAGAAATAGTCAAACAAAGTTGGAGAGTCTGTCACAAATAGTTAAATAGTTACAGTGTTTATTACATAAATTCTCTTATTTTATGTTAGTAGTATTAAAATGTGTTTTATTCTATGGCAGACCTAGGATGGGCCGCCAACAGTCTATGACTGGCACACCAATGCAGTTCAGAATCACGGCAGTTCAAAGCATTGTAGACTTTTGCAGTGCTTACAATCAAAAAGCCCAGGACAAAGTGAATTCCCCACAGAAATAGTCAAACAAAGTTGGAGAGTCTGTCACCAGGCATGATTATGTTGTAATCACTCCTAGTAATTATCCTGAAATTAGCAACGTCAACAGAGCTTAGGCAAGTACTATAGGTTTCAAAATTGAATCCCGGGGATCTCATGGATGACTGTAGTGGTTTGGAATTCACTTTGAACCGTAGGTTTCGGTGTAGATTATCCCTCGTGTATAGTAAATGACCGTAGAGTGAAAACCAGGGTTTTAGATAGGGTTAACAATCCTAGCCAGTAAAAAATATCATATTAGGGAATCAAAGGCAGAAAGAACAGGGAAAATCTCATCTAGAGGATAATATTTTCGTCAGATAGGTCTAGCTGGTGGAAGCTGATTGAGACAGCCTTGGACGGGAACCGGCTGCAAAGCGTAAGAAGATTCTATATATAAATAATCTTCTTACGCTTTACAGCCGGTTCCGCGTATGTATATATTAATGGCTATGTATATCACACAGGTGTATATATACGCCTGTGGGATATACATAGGCAGGTATAGATATTCTACATAAAAGGCAGTTCAATTACCGCGACAGTGAAATATATTTGATGATTTTGTATGTATCGCTACTTGTATTTGTTCTTTTTAGATAAAATGATTATGTTCATCTCTGGCTTCAAAAGAAAATTAAGTTTTTTCGTTTGTTTGTTTAAAGGTTACTTTAATTACAATCCCCCTGTGTGTGTATATATATATATTCCATGTAGGAGCCAGTTCAATTATTGTAAGAGTAAAATAAACCTAATGATTGTGTATGTATCGGCTACTTGTATTCGTTCTTTTTAGATAAAGTTACTATGTCCATAAGATTTTGGCTTCAAAAGAAAATTAAATCTTTTCGTTAAAAGGTATTTGCAGCTTCTTTTTTTTCCATGTACTAAAAAATAAGCAGTATTAAAAAATAAATTAAAAATAAATAAATAAATATAATCTTCTAGCAACAAGGAGTAAAAGATAAGAATGGAAGAAATACAAAGAAAATGCACTTTCTCTTAAATTAGAACAAACAAGTAAATCACATGAGGTTTAAAATAAGATCTCTGTCTTTGCTCAAAGGCTTCTTGCATTTAAAACACTTTTTAACGTCAAGTCAATGTCAACTCACACATTAGTTTTAAGAAAAACAGTAACAATTTAAGAAATTTAGAGGATTTATTCGTAAAAAAAAAGAAGTACTTAAATTCAGCATTTCAATGTATTGTTGTCAACAAATTTAATTGCTGTTCTTAATTATGATCTTTTACTTACTGCCATTTATTATTTATTATTATTATCTTTTTAATTTTTCATCATAAAGTATTCACGTAATTTAGTTTATACTGCGATATATATCAGGACAGTTACCAGTTTAATTGAAATAATATAATTTTCCTTGATAATATTAATTAAAACAATTTAAGCGTAAGGTTGAAAGAAGTAAAAAAAAAAAAAAAAAAAAAAATCACGTGTTTAGCCTAATAATATTTAAGTCACAATTAGTCCCGCTTTTAAGGTGATAAAAAGGTTATTATTGTTTAATGACACTTTTTCTTAGCGGCAGTTTAATATCACTAATGAATATAGTTTGCAAGAGTAACAGTAATTTAAAATAAAAATTAAAATAATTAAAAAAGCATGAACTTAAAGAAACCAAATGCACGATAAGCAAAAATGTACAAGAAAAACTATTTTATTTAACAAAATGCAGCCTAATCAAATTACCATGCTCCCTCCTATATACTGGCCTGAGCCCCAACCCCTCCAGTGGCGTCCAGGTCAGTCACCTGCAGGTCCTTACCCGAGAGGCCAGTACAGTACAGCGTAAGCACTCTTTGCTGTTTAGAAATGTTTAGTTCACAATTTTTTTCACCGAGATGAAATATATTCAACGCAACCCTGCGTATTAGTTGGTTACACTCTATCCCGGTGAGGAAGTATAGTTAACGCAATCCTGCACTTTTTGGTGCATACTGGGCCTAGCAGAAACTACCATCTTAGAAATGGAATTTCTTCCCCGAATCTATAATTATCTATCTTTAAATGTATCGAATATTGTATGTCTTTAATTGTGCGTGCCATGGAGTTTGTGTGTGGGTAATGAAGTTGTAAATTTTCTATCTCTGCCTCAAATATCTCAACACAACCACACCCAGTTATAATCCAGTTGCCTCCAAACTGCCCGCCACAAAACAAAACATTTCACCTTAAGTTAAATACATGCTATACTAGATTATTTTACAGATTTGCTTGTCAGAAAATGCCCCTTTTATTAACATCACAGAAAAATATAGTATGATGTAAAAAATTTTAAATTTAAAATAAACAAAGAAATAAATGAAAACAATTTCAATAACTTATTAAAACCATTTTTAAGACCGCATTTAGAAATTTCGATTCAACTAACAAGGAAACATCATTGTCCTTTGCCATACATATTAAATGAATTCATATAAAAATACATCGTTAAAATCCATATAAAAAGATTCAATAGTACTAGAATATCAAAACCAAGCAAATTAATATAACAGTTAATTAAGAAGCATTTTAGAATAACTTTACATTAAATTCCTAGAATAATTCAAAAGAGTATATTCCATTTCAAAAATCAAGAGACCATGAGCAATTAAACGAACAACCCATACATCAGACCTTGTCAGTAGAAAATCACCACCCTTCCATAGTTTTGCTTAAAATGTTCACCACTTAAAAACTGAATGTCGCCATCATTACTTGTAGATTGTTAGTGACAAGTCGATGCTAATTATAATGAAGAGAGCGATTTGGCGATTTTGCAGAATATTTGGAATTGAGAGGTCAGATTAGGGTTTTTGATTTTGTCTCTTGTGTGGATGTAGGAAGTCCAGAATAATGAGGCATCAGGCTAGGATTTTTTTTTGGAAAATGGCAGCAGATTGTTTAGAATTATAAATCTTGTTTACACAAGATGGGAAATTTCAAAGACTATAACAATGTCTTTTTTAAGGATTAATATCAAATATTTGTTTATTGTTATACAAAATCTATAATTAAAAATATTGAATATTTTTAACTGATTAATGAAAATTTCCAATGTTTATTTACTTTTTTTAAAAAGATCTGGCAAACAATTTTAATTGAAATACTCTATACGTAATGAGACCTTAATTTATAATTATATACATTTAAAAAAGTTCGTAATTATCATTTTTTTTTCTTTCTAATGCAGCTGGCAAACACAGACAGCTTGGTCTTTGGATGCCTTAAGGCAAGTGCTGCATAGACGTACTCACTTTGCATTACCCAGGGGG